CATCAACTTGGCAAAAATTTAAGTCTGACAACAACGCAGAGTATTGTGAAGGCTACAGAACAATGCAAACTCTCATTCAGTTCTGGTGGAAGGAAACTGATAAAATGTGGCAATATCTAATAAAATAGAAAATGCATATACCTTAAGAGCCAGCAATTTTATTCCTAGGAATATACCCTAGAGGAATAGCTTTCAAATATTTTTTTTTTTGCTTTCAAACATTTTTTTTCATGACACACATATTTTACATTTTAACCCAGTACACACATACTTATTTAACTGAAAGCAAAATTCACAAAACAGTGCTTATTCTTATTATGTGTGACACATTCTGGTAGTTTCCATTCTATTCTCATTCATTTTTTAAATGTTGGAGTGACTCATTCAATAGATTTTATAACCACTAATGGGTAAACACACCCAGTTCAAAAACCCATGCCCCAGAAAATATTCTCATGTGTATATCTTCTTGCACAAAGGTGAGAGAATGTTCATTATGGCATTCTTTGTCAAAAGAAATTTAAAACAACATATAAGTCAATCAGTGGGAGAGTGAATAAAAAATTGGAGGCGTAGTCATACAATGGAATATGATATAGCAGTGCAAACCAAAGAACTTGAACCATAAGTATTAACGTAAGTAAATCTCAAGAACTTCCTACTAAGCAAAAGAAGCTGCAGAAGAATATATATATATATGATGACACCATTTGTAGAAACTTCTTAAACATGCAATATAATACTATATATGGTTTAGGAATATATTTTTATATAATGAATACATAAAGTATAAAGATATGCACAAGGAGAAAAGGAAAAAGATCACAAAGGAATACAGAAAAAAAAAGTGAAATGGAAAAGCCCAGTGAACAACTGGATACTAAATGGTTAAAAGTTGCCCATCTTCAAAATTAAAGTATTGCCTCCTGGGCCAGCAGCGTCCTTCCAGGCACAGGGCTAATAAAGCCTCAGTCTGCCATCCAGCAAACGGAGATCAGTCTTCAAAGCTTATAGCGCTCATCTTTGAAAACTGTTCTATTTAGTAACCAAGTACACTGAGTATCTATTTTTAATTAAGTAACGAAATTCAGAACATGAACAAAAAATGCAACAGGTAGTTGTGGGCGGCTGAGATGTCATAGCAGATGCCCCAAACACAGCCATGTGCCAGTAAGGGTGAGTCACTGTGATATGCTGAAAAAAGATAATAAGGCTTGGCTACCACAGGTTGCAGTAAGCCCTCTGCTTTCCTCTCTTATATTTGCCAGGCACCATTCCAGAACACTGAACATGTAGACAGCTTCAAGATTAGTAAATCACTAAAAATGACAAAATATGGCATCTTACAAATAGCACATGCTTGTGATCAAATTAACACAGAGCAAAAAGCTAATAAACAGTCAGTGGCCTCATGGAATAATTCCCTAAAATTAAAATTTGGCCCCTCTACCTAGAAGAGTAAACCCCATACTATAATACACTTCACTATAATTTCAAAAATATCAATTCATTTGTCAAGAAATGAAATTTTAAAGGACTACATATAACAAAGATTAAGCAATAATCCACCAGACCAATAAACAGGTTTCCAAGCCAGAAGTCCAAACCACTATGATCCCCAAACCAGGCATCTTCTCTAGGAAAACATCTTACCTCTTCACCCATTCAACCCCTACTTGCTACACTATATGGGAAAGGTACCATAGAGGGCCTTAAGGAGGCCTAAAAATAAATAAGAACCCTGTCCTTAAGATTGTGACAGTCTAGCAGTGGAGCTTAGGAACACGTACACACACACATACATACACACATACATACATAGGTGTACATAAGGTACAAAGATTTAGGTGCCATTAGAGAAATAAAGATGAGTTACTATTTTTTAAAAAAATATTTTACTTTGAATAGATTCTTACCTATCTACTCCTCCTATGAGCCAGATCTAGAATATAGATACTCACACCTTATCACTTCAAGGGCAAGTAGCCATAAATAGAAACAAGACTAGTTCTGTGTATGCTGTGCCCTATAGGGTATGCCCCTTCCAGTTCACAGAACTCACAAATGTGCACCCCATTCCTTGTAACCATGAGTCCTGCTGATCTAAAAGAAAGGGAAATGCCAATAAGTGACACACTAAGAAGAAGCCATTCTGTTCCCAAACCCCGCCACTGTTTTGCTATAGAAACTTGAGGAATGCACACTTGGCCTGATGGAAGGATTGAAGAAAGAATTGTTAATGAGACTCCGAGGAACTTTCATGAATCTTTCAGACAAGCACTACATAAAAGGCATCACTAATGCTCTACATCAATAAGGCTTTTCACATCATTTTATGCATAGCAACTTTGTTAATGTAGGTAGAGGTATTTGCATTCCTTTTTTAAATCTAAAGAAAGTAAATTCCATAAATACTAAATGCCACTGATGCCATTTCAAATATTTTTCACAGAGCTAGTCCAGCCCGGGCCAGGTCTAGTGGATTCATTTCAAATGTATCATCAGATCCACTATTTGCATTTAAATGCTCAACCAAATATTCAGGAATTGGGGAGCACTGGAGAAGGAATCTGCGGAAAAGAAATAAAGTGACCTCATGTTGATGAACCCAAATGTTCTCTCAGATTACTGATACAAGGAGTAAGAAGTTCAGATGACATCATCTTACATAAGCCAGTCCCAGTCCTCTGGCCATCTCTTAAAAAAAAAAAATGTTTGTGACAAACTAAAGAAGAAAGACCTATTTCCATGCCCTATCCATTTGGGACAATAAACATCCCTGGTTCACGGGTTTGGCTTCTTTTGATGACAGCTTCCCTAAGCTATAATCTACACCCCACAAAAACCTTACAGGTGCACAGTTCAGTCCAGTCACCTTTCATATATTTACAGAATTGTAGAACCATCCCCACTATCGACTTTTAGGACATTTTTGCCCCAAAAGAAACCCCCCACCCACTGACTAAATTGAAGATAATGCCAGATCTTTTATTTATTTTTTTTAAGATTTTTTATTTTTTATTAGAGAGAGAGTACAAGCAGGAGGAGCGGCAGGCAGAAGGAGAGGGAGAAGCAGGTCCCCCGCTCAGCAGGGAGCCCGAAGTGGGGCTCGATCCCAGGACCCCAGGATCATGACTGAGCCGAAGACAGATGCCCAAACGTCTGAGCCACCCAGGTGCCCCAATGCCAAAAAAAGCATCCTATTTTCCAATAAAGTATCCAATTGACTTAGTCTTCTTTATCTCACTACTGAAGAAAGTAAGTGTATATCCTCATATCTAAGTCTGCAGCTTAGTCAAAAAACAGCAAGACTTATAGCAGGCAAAAGAAACTAAAAAAAGCTAAAAGAGAATCAAGAATGCAACATATTTCTAGTAAGAAAGTGCTCAAAAACTGACAGGGATATGTCAAAAAGACACAAACACCAACTCAACAGAGCTCCCAATGACAAAGCTAGAACAACTGAGCAACAAAATAAATGAACACAGTGTTTGGATGATAACCTAGAGACTAAAATAAACACCTCAAAATTCACACTGACATAAATAAATAAGCGAATAAGTGACTGGGGGAGGAGGGATAACGCTTCTCTACAGCAGAATTCTAATTAACAAGTGTGGGGGGGAGTAAGGGAAATAGAAAATCACTTAGATCAGCACCACAGTAATAATGATTGCAGGCCAGAACCATCCATGGACGCTGAAATTTGTGGCCAAAAGTACAATGAGGAAGCGAACATCTGCACCACCTCAAGACATCACTCCACAAGATACTTACCAATGACAAAGGGAAGATGGAGCTAACGCTATAGTGGAGAAACGTGGTGGACACAATCCTACCTGAGCGGTCCGAGTTAACATACCAGTCACAGACATATGAACATCACATACTCCCTGACCTAATGCACTGAAAACCATACAGCATCAATTCTGTAGTATGCTTAGGGAAAAAAATGCAATTCTCACTGTAATAAAGGGAAAACAGTAGATGAACCCATACTGAGCAACACTTTACAAAATAACTAACCAGTGCTATTTTCAAAAGTGTCAAAATCGGGATGCCTGGGTGGCTCAGTTGGTTTAGCACCTGCCTTCGGCTCAGGTCATGATCCCAGGGTCCTGGGATTGAGTCCCGCATCAGGCTCCCTGCTTCTCCCTTGGCCTGCTGCTCCTCCTGCTTGTGTGTGCTCTCTCTCTCTCTCTCTGACAAATAAATAAAATCTTTTTTTAAAAGAAGTGTCAAAATCATAAAAGACAAAGAAAGACAGAAACAGTAACAGGTTAAGAAGACCAAGATGCAACAGCTAAATTCAGTTTGGATCCTGGATTGGATCCTGGACCTAAAAAAGGACATGCATGAGTGGGAAAACTGGCAAAATTCAAACAAGGCTTGTAGAACAATCAACAGCATTATAGCAACATTAATTTTCTGTAGAATTTTGTATATTTTCTGTAAATCTACATTTATTTTGAAATAAAAAGTAGGGGCTTTTTAATGCAATATTCCCAGGTGTGAGATTCTACTGTTCCAACCCCATTGTGAAAAATGACTCATTCTGGCTAGCTATTACAATTTTCTTATTAGGAGAGATTACCAATCCCATTTTCTTATTAGAAGAGATATCAGATTCAGAATTCCAAAACCCAACTCTTAGAGTACATGCTGGATTGCAGCAGACGTAAAAAGAAAACAAGTCATTGAATGAAAAACACACTTGCTAAAAATCACATGGCACACTGTTAACAAAGAGACATGCCAAAAAAAAAAAAAAAAGACACGAACATTGTGATCATAAAGCAATGGCCCACAACACAAATAAAACAACTAGAAACATAAAATGTCAAGATCTGGACAAAACCAACTGCATCATCATGTGATAAGATCATGACTTGATGAATTTCTGTGGTGTTCAATTTTTATGAATCCGGTGAGAAAAGTTTATTAGTAGGTAAGGGCTGGATTGGGTCTGATACATTAGTTGAAGTAGTTCTGGTACCTACCCAGACTTCAAGTCAGTTATCCTCAAACAGTTCGTAGCGTCCAGTCCCACTTTTCCATTGCGGACCACACTAGATATGAATGGGGAGAGCATTGGAGAAATTCGGTTCAAGGCCACTTCTGGGGACATTTTAGCTTGACTTGCAAATTACCACTGAAAGCAGAAGGAAAGAATGGTGGTCAGAGTATTCAGAGAAACTAGACAGAACAAGTTTCCTGAAAACTGGCACAGCACAAGGAAGTTTCTCTTGCATGAATAAATACCTCATTTCCTGTCTTACAGCGGCCTCTTCCAATGACCCTCCAGAAGAAACCAACCCCCTGTTGCTCACCTCCTCAGGACAGAGGCTGAATCAATGTTTTTCAGGAACAGAAGCAACCTTTCAAATCCAATTCCCTCCTCCTTTCCAAAGCTGACCGCCACACTGCCCCACACAACCTAAAGCTACCCTGCTCTGTCTTACAACCGGCAGCTTCCTACTCGGAGGCATTAAGAAGCCTTTGTTAACAATCCTCTCCCCCAACACACAACATGTACACACCATTAAGTTAGGAACCACTCCCTCTGTGTCCCCACAAGAAGGACTTGATTGGTAATACTGTATAAAATTCAAGAATAAGCATAATCTGCTTACCAGTTGTTACTTACAAGAAATTACTTACTTCTGATATGCTGTCCCTCCACAGTGTGCTATAACTACCCGCTCTGTGATCTCTCCCCTGCAGGGACTATGTCTTGAATCCCTAGTGTTTAACAAAAGTACCTGGCACACGCTAAGCACCCAGTAAAAATCTTTTAATAAACAAATGAATAAAGAGACAAAAACTAGAGAAATATTGAAGTATGGAGAGAAGACAACATGCCCTCAAAAAATGTGGTCGAGGATAATGTATCTGAGGAACATATGTAGCAAAAAGCTATTTAACAATTGAATCATGAAAATAAACACTTAGCCGGATATTAAGCAACACAAACTAACATGGATCTAAAAGTGCACTAAGAAGTTCTTACACTTGAAAATACAGAAGTAAAACCAACAAAGCGTATCTAAATTATTAGGAAACCCAAGGGGTTAGGAGAGGGAATGCATGAATTCCTCTAAATAGATTTCTAAATGAAAACCTCTACTTTCAGAGGTGAATAAGTCCATTTAAATAATCACTTTCTTCCTCAATCTGAAAGGATAATCCTGCATCAAAAGCAAATTAATTTCTTACAAGTTAAAACTACAAGGAAATGATGTTCTGGTCCTAGTTTTCATGTATTTTACCATATGAGGACTTACAAGTCTCTGCCAAAATAAATGTTGAAAACCAGTACCTGTTTTAATCACTTCACATAGTAATAAAGGGAAGGACTGCAATGATTTTTCAAAAAATAACTTAATGACCTTATATAGTGATGACACCCAGAAGTACCTTTGAGGCAGTAAAAGCTTTATACTTCAGTACTCAAATCATCCTTTCTGCAAATATAAAACAAGCTCCTCTTCCAGTCACTTAACAGATGACCTCCCTCCACCATTCCAATGTCACTACAAAGTAAGAATAAACATCTAATGCCCTGTATTATCAATCATAAAAATCATGCTGTACATTTTTATAACACTACCACTTGCAAAGAGCTTCCAAATACATTATTACAGTTGATCATCACAATCCCGGGCAATAGGCAGGTATTAGAATTCCCACTCTACACCAGATAAGGATAACTTCTGTAATTTGCCTTTGAACAGCATACTAACCCATATTATCATTTTGAAGCTTATTTTTTTTCCTATTCTGCGACATTTCCATTCTTATTACTATCCACTGATGTCACAGTTCTTGAAAGGATGCTTATCTAGATCATATGCAAAACACAGAAATACTCATCTGGAAAAAAAGCAAAGATCTCACCTACATTACAAAATTATTCTTCCATGCTTTTTTCCCATAATACCTATCATTCTTTTACCTCTCATTTCTATGAAAAATGGAAAAAGAATCAACACATTCTGAAAAATCAACTGAGTATCAGGCACTATATTACCCACCTCTACCTGTAATTTCATTTACTTCCCCCCAACAACCCTGTTCTCTATTATTGTTCCCATTTCACAGATAAGAAAACTAAAGCTCAGCAAGTCTAAGTAACTTTTTCAAAGTCACAAACATAGCAAGAATAAAGATCAGAATTCAAATCCAGATCTCCCTCAAAGTCCACTATACCCATCCTCCTCTCACATTAAGCATGTATAATTGCAATCACCAAAGAGAAAGGCATCAAAGTCATCTGTTTAAGTGTACAACTTATAAAATTGGAACAGAAAAAAATCATGAAGTTGAACTAATGGTTGCTTGACCACCAGAAACACGTTTGACTACCGCTGGTCTGCTGCCAAAGCTGGCCTGAGTAATCGACCAGTCAAATGCTACAGGGAAGAAACCTGCACCAAAAGCCAAACTATACTTAAGGTGACAACAACCCGTCCCAATTCAGCAACTGTCAGGACCTTCAACTAACACCTGAAGGAATGAATTTCTTTGTTTCAGAACAGCTACAATACTATTTTTTGACAGTGCAAGACTTCCTGCAGCGTTAAAATCTGTTTCAACCGTAAGTGTAGTGACTTCTCTAAGACAGAGTGGAAATACTCCAAAACCATAGGTCACCAAATAGCCAAAGATGATGGTTCTTTGGTGTGATCCTTTTGAGCCAGGGACATGGATGGGGGCTCACCCCCAATAGTGGCTTTTACACATCACAGTTCTATAATAGATCCCAGCTAGGCACAAATTTACAGCAGCCAGCCTCCCCTGAATGCTAGTTGTGCAATTTTTATTTCCTGATTTTGAGGTATTACAGAAGGAAAATGTAGAAATACAATTTTTACAGGGTCTGCTGCTCGAACAGGTTCACATAAGGTCCTCGGATGGGCAGCCTGGGGACTACAAAGACGTCTAAGGCATGGTCCAGTATCTCGCAATTAAGATGGGATGACAAACACGGAAACGTGTGCCCTGCTTACGTCATGGAACGGAAAGGGGTGGCGTCCTGCTGCGTCACCTCAACGTCATACAGCGCACGAGGGAAGTTAAGTGGGGAAGCAGTTTCTCCAGGGGCAACATTCAAGAAAAACAAGTCGGCTCAGACCCAAAGAATGACCACCCCACTCTAGGGGCCATCCAAAAAGGGATACTCTCCCTTTTCCCAAACTGTATGGTCCCCTCATCAGGCGGACAGGAGAAAGGAGTCTGAGGTTATTGAGGGAGCAGGGGGCGGGCTAGATACGCAAAAAGAGCAGCCTCTGGCCTTGGGGGACTCGTCCTTGCGGGGACCAGCATGATGGGGATGAGCAGGGCATCTCTGGAACGGGGGCCTTCTCTATAGGAAGAGGCGGCGAGCCCCGGGCATACTTAAACCACGGTCCTGTGCACAGGCCACCTGTGCGACTCGGGATCCAACCTCCCCGCACCAGCCCCAGTCCAGGTACCTGGAACTTAGTCCGATCGGTAACCGGCGACTACGTGGGGGTACAGGTTACCCGAGCGCGCCCCCGACTGACGCACTGACCTGCGCGCGCACCGCGAGCCGGATGCGTGCGCGCCCCTGCACGTCCCGCCCCGCCCCCTCTGCGGCCCGGGAGCCGGGCGGCGTGCGCGCCCCCGGACGCACCGAGCCGGGCACTCGGAAAGGCGTCCCCGCAGTGCCTGAAAGGTCTTTCCTCCGCGCCGGTCTCGTGGGTGGCGAGCGGCGTGGAGTCTGGAACTATCGGGAGGGCTCTGTAACGAGAGGTGGTGCAGGGAGACCGTGCCGGGAAGAACAGAGGGCGGTTGGGGGCGGGGTTATTTCGGGCAGTCAGGTGGGCGACCCGCAGAGGCGTCTGGAAGGCCCGCGTCGTTAGGGAGCGTAGAAGCGGCGTTTCTGGTTACAGGGTTGGGCAAAGGTCAGCCTCTGGGTTGGAGAACACCTCCCTTGGGCCATGGCCGCATCTGGGGAACCCGGCCGGCAGTGGCAGGAGGAGGTGCCCGCGGTGGTAGTGGTGGGCTCCTGCATGACCGACCTGGTCAGGTTAGTCCGGCGCAGTACGCAGAGCCTGCGGTCGCGGGAGGGGGCGGACTGTGCTTGGCACCGGGGCTTTGGCAATGGAGAGTGCCCGCTTTTGGGGTGAGTTACAGGTTTCCCTAGCCCGCAGCCTGCCTCCCTGGCGTGGAAGAGGCAGAATTTGAGTTGGTAAAGGTAACTGTCAAGTTAGGGAACGTAGAGGCCAGGTGTAGTGGAAGCTCTTACTGTTACTAGAAGCGCCTGCAAAGACCTCCGGTTTTCTTGACCAGTCTGTTGAACCTGTCCCCTGACTAGCCTAAGTAACTTTGGTCAAGTCATTTTATCTCTGAGAACGTGCCCGCCTCCCAGGGTTGTTGTGAGGACAAAATGAAGGCAGGTGTTTTGTGAACAGTGACATGAACCAGGTTGGGTATTATTCGTCTGAACTTGAATGAGCGGAGCAGAGGTCAAAAAGGCGATCGATCAATCACCCTTCACCATATTGACTGTTGGCATTCCTGCAAAGTTCATATTTACACCTTGCTTTTCAGTATTGTATGTATCAGTATATGGGTTATCTTATGGCAACCCGAGTGTGAATCAATAAAAACCCATAAACACAATGTTTACAACGATAAAAAAAAAATGATCAAATAGTGAAAATAGGTTGGATGGAGAGATCCCTAATTTTTCTTTTTTTTAAATGAAAATGGCGGAGTGCCTAGCTGGCTGGGTGCTAGAGCTCTCAACTCTTGATCTTGGAGTTGTGAGGTCAAGCCCCACCTTGGGCTTAGAGCCTATTCAAAAATAAAAAGGGGGGGGAGGGAGGAAGGGAAAATGGCTTTTTTAATTATAAAAATATGTTCATTGTAAAAAAAAAATCATATTCCAAGAAAATTCTACCATTCAGATTGCTTTCATTTAATATTTTTGTGAGTGGCTTTTCAAATATACTATTTTTTTTACATTATAAAAATTGAAAGTGATCACACATGCCACAGTTCAGACTTCATCTGTCCTGCAACCTTGCTCTTCCAAAGGACAGCAGAGAGCCTGGAAATAAGTAAAAAGGTTTTGGGAAAATCAAGTCACCAAATCTCTGCACCACCTATGTTTTACCTAGAAAATAGCTCTAGGGTCTGTATGTAACCAATTTAGTCTTATGTTGCTTAAAATATTTATAAGCTAGGTTAATCATATTTCCAGACCAAGAGTAGGAAGGGGGAGAGACTGCTAGGGTCAGGTATAATGATTGCTGAAAACATACTTTTATAGGTGCAGTGGCAAAAGAGAAAGCTAAGCAATTTTCCCATGCACCCTACCTGAATAAGTGTCAGGTTTAAAATTCAGAGCCACTTTCTTCTTAAACTAAGTCTGAGCTTTCTGTTATGCTTGACCATCAAACATTAAGGATAATTATACTTTATAAAATGAATACTCTTCATACTTGGGGGAGAGTGGAGTGTCAAAGGCTCATGTAACATTTGTTGGGATTTTAAAATCTTATTTGAGCTAGAGGAATTTGGGGTGCCTGGATGGCTCTGTCGGTTAAGCGTCCAACTCTTGATTTCAGGTCAGCTTATAATCTCAGGGTCGTGAGATCGAGCCCCACGCAACGCTCTGCACTGGGCATGGAGCCTGCTTAAGATTCTCTCTCTCTCCCTCTCCCTCTGCTCCTCCCGCCCTCCCTCTCTCTCTCTCTCCCCGTCCCCTTTAAAAATAAAGAGCTAGAGGAATTTAGAGATTATTTATCCCAGCCCTTCAGTTCATAAAGGAGTAAACTGAGGTCCAGAGAAATAAGAAACTCATGTCGTATATAACCTTTCTAATGTCTCTTCTCTCGCCATTTTCTTTCCTTTGTAAAATAACCAGGTTTCTACTTCTCATGAATCACTAGTAAAAATTTTACTCCCTTAGAGACTGCCTCACGGCTTATCTGCAAACTTCTTATGATTGCTGATTACTCCTTCCTCTGAAGATCTTTACAAAATACCTGAGTATAGAATTTTTATTTAAAACCCTGCATCTGTGATAAACTTGGGTCCAGCTTTGCTAGTTATGGTACATTATCATGATTGTGTTCATTTCCTCTTGCTGCCGTAACAAATTGACAAACTTAGTGGCTTAAATAATACAAATTTAGCACAGTTCTGGAGGTCAGAAGTCTGACACAGAGCTCACTGAGCTAAAATCAAGGTGTCTGTAGACTGCGTTCCTTCCTGGAGGCTCTAAGAGAAATCTATTTTCTTGCCTTTTCCTGCTTCTAGAGGCTTCCCACATTCCTTGGCTCATGGCCCCTTCATCTTCAAAGCCAGCAATGGTCCATCAAGTCTTTCTCACATGGCATCACTCTGATGCTCACTTTCTGCCTTCCTCTTCCTCTTCTACATTACAGGAACCCTTGTGATTATATTGGGCCCAAATGGATAATTCAGGATAATATCCTTATTTTAAGTTAGCTTATTAGCAACCTGAATTTCTCTTGCCATGTAATGTAATATTCACAAGTTCTGGGGGTTAGGAATGTAGACATCCTTGGGGTGGGGGGTGGGGGCGGGAAGACATTATTCTGCCTACCACAGTGATAAAGCTTAAAGTCAAAAAAATCTTAAAATACTTCGAGCTTGGGGGATCATTGAAGCCCATCAGTCCATTCTCCACATTTTACAGATGAGCTAACTAAGAGACTAGTTAGATGACTCACCCAAAATCACACAGCCAGTTAGTGTCACAGTGAAAGCTGGAAACCCACGTTTCCCAAGCTTTATCTTTCCATTATAGCATTCTGCCTCTACCTCTACCTCTGGCTGGTATTTATTGCCCTTTTCATCTGCAGTTCATTTGAAAGCTTATAGTGTGTGCATTCATTGTTTACTTTGTAAGCTGATAAAGGAGAACAACTAAGGATTTGTAATTTTCAAGTCTAAAGATGGTATCTTCGTGCCTGTCCCTTACTTTATTTCTTAGTTTAACTGGCGCCAACTTGGACACCCGTGCCTACACTGTAGAATCACTTCAGAAATAAAACTACTTCAGTAACCAAGCCCTCTTGGACAGCACCCAATCCAATTCACTTTATATATTACATTACTGTGTGCCAGACACTGCTAATTAAATCAATGAGCAACTTTTTTTTATGTCTAATTTCAGTTTGCTATGAATAGTAAGCTCTGTGTACTAATAATTTTAAAATATCATTAGCTCATCCAACATGGCAAAGTGAGCATTATTTAATAGCCACCTATGTTTATCATTATTCTCTTCTTGAACACTCATCTCTGAAGTTCCACAATGCAAAGATAAATCAAGCTTGTGGAAAATTAAGTCAGAGTTCCTCCAAAGACAGAATTCCATGAAAACCCAACAACAAATAAACTTCATTGGAGATTAAGCTCACAGATCTTTGTTAATCATGCTTTCATTAATAATCTTTATTTTTTATGACGTGTATCACCCATCTTTTATTCATTCGACAGATATTTATTGACTTTGTATATATGCCAGGTACTTCCCTAAGTGCAGAGGATGCAGCAGTGAAAAACACAGCCAAAAATCCCTGCCTCGTGGAGCTTACATTCTAATGGAAGAGACCGTATAAGAAATAAGTAAAATGCATAGTATGTTAGATAAATGCTAAGGAGGAAAATAAGGCATGAAAGGGAGATGGGAGTAGTAATTTTAGGTCCTTGCCCACAGAAAGCCTCACTAAGAAGGTGATTTTGAGTAAAAACCTAAAGGAGGAAAGGAAGCCAGCCATACAGATACTCAGGATAAGAGCATATGCAAAGGCCCTGAGGTGGAAACATGCCTCATATGATCAGTGAACAACAAGGAGTCCAGTGTGGCTGAAGAAGAAAGAATGGGAGGGGGGAGGGCAGTTAATGATTAAAGGATGTTGGGTCATACCCTGAATAAGATGAAAAGCCACTGGAGGGTTTGAGCAGAGGGGTGACCTCATGTGATGTACATATTAATATCATCACTATGGGGGCTGTGAGAACAGACTGAAGGAAGGCAAGGGCAAAAAAGGGGAGACCAGTTCAGAGCTGTTACAATAATCCAGGCAAGAAATGACGGTTGCTTGAAAGCAGTCCAAGTGGGAAGAAGTGAGCATCTTTTGATTATATTTTGAAAGCAGAGCTGACAGGATTTGCTGAGGACTACAGATGGGTCAAGGATTACTCCCAAGTTCTGTGGCCTCTGCATGTGGAAGGGGAAGCTGACTTTTGCCAAGAAACAAGATTGGGAGCAGAGCAAGCTGGCTAGGAAGAGGGCAGTATCAGGAGCTCAGGGTGGACATGCGAGATTCGAGGTGCCTGTTGGACATCCAACTGAGGCCGTCAAGAAGACAGATATAGGAGTTTGGAGTTCAGAGAATAGGACCAGCTGGAGATATAAATTTAAGAGTCATCACTGTATCGAGGATATTTGAGGTCGTGAGGCAGGATGAGATCACTGAAGGTCTGAACTCCTAGGGCACTCCAACATCTACAGCATTGTTTTTTACATAATTTATCTCCCATCTCCCAGTCTCTCTGTACCCCTAAAACTTGCTTTGAGACAAGCTCAATACAAAGCCATGTTTACATTTCCATGGCGATAGACTATGATGCCAGCTAAAACCCTGTGTTATCCTTTTACATGCTCCAATTAAAAGTGATGGCTTGAGAGATAAGGCTCATGTTCAACCAAGCATCTAAATTTAATCCTTGGCAAGTCAGGAAATGATTGCTTAATTCTTAAAAGATTTTAATTGGATGGCGGAATAAGTGAATTTAGAAGCTTTTCAATCCAAAGTGGATGAAACGTAGGACCTAGATTACTTCAAAAAAAAAAAAAAAAGCCAAAAATATATACCATACCTAGAAAAGGTTACATGTGTCTAACATACTGCATAACCTCTAACCTGCATTCCACCAGAAGCCTCTTGATTTGTCATACTTGGAACAGAAAAATCTCTTCTGCATCACAATTTCAGTAAAGTAAAAGCCAGAGGAATGTTGACCTGAGGAGTGTCATGCATACCC